ACACTGATTGAGTAATGAGCCTTAAGCATGAAACTGGAATTTTTCTGTGCTATCTTTTTTTTTGTAATTTTATATCAAAATTTCTTGGTTATTACTAGGCATTTCTCAAGAATTTTTTTTTTTCAAAAAAATCCTTTTCCTATGGGTCCTTCCCTTCTGGCTATGGGTATGGGTAATGGAATTCGACTGCTTTAGATCTCGATGTAGAGTCCAATGTGCATTGACGAGTCCTTCTCTACTTCTAGGCCTTTTGGCATTGCATGCATGAACAAGCAATAGCACACTCAAGTCATTCAGGACTATCACAAATGCCTGTTTTCTGATAGATTTGGACTCAACTATCTCCTTGTATGTGCTGTAAATCCTGCCAAAATATTATCTCTCATCTTACCCTTTTTTGGGGGAAGAGGTTGGAACTCTGCCAATCAATTAGAAAGGAAAAGAGTTTTGTACAACACTCAAGCCAAGTCTAGAGGAGTAAAAAAAAATATTACAGAAATATCTTTTTAATCATGAAGTTTTTTTCACATGAATACATGAATGCAATCCTGGTGAACTGACATGTTTGTATGCCTGCAAATGCTTGTTCACAGTATGCAATATGAGAAGTTATCGTAGTTATTCCAGGTTCTTTGATTTTTTTTTCTCTTGCATTTTTAGGATAGACGATTATCAAACCCTGGTTAGCTAGAAAACTTGCTAAAACCAGTTTCTCATGGAGGTATTTACAAATTGGTGACCCCAGGTTTGAAGCACTGGTGGTTCTCCTCAACTGGAGGCACCAACCAATCTATTTGAATTATTTGATTTTGATACTCAGAGCTTTGCTGAACTACATTATTATCATTGACAATAAAGGTGTTTATACCTTCATTCAGCGGGGACAAAGGCAGTAGATTTGGATGAAAATTCAGAATTTGATCTGCGTTCATTTCATCCCTACATGCAAAATTATGGAAGTGCATGTTTTCTTTCCAGGAGATAAATGTCTGTACTAAGTGAGGGCTGTCACATCCATCTAGGATCTTAACCTGTTAGGAGTTGGTATGACAGATTTTACTCAAATTGTGTAAATCGTGTATCTACATTCATAAAATGATTTATTTCATGGGCTTTCCTCTTAGTTTTTCCTTGTGTTTATTTTGTCCAGTGTTTATGCCCCCGTCAGTTCCATAACATTGTACTTGGATACATCTTTGTTTAATGTCTATGGATATTTAGTCTTAGAAAATACCTAATGGAGCATTAAACTGTCATACTATTGACAAGGGAATCCAAATGGAAGAATGTGACAATGTAGTTATGTTCTTTGATTTTTTTTTTCTTTTGATGTTTATTAGCAGTATACATTAATCATTCCTTGGTATTGTCTATCCCTGTTTTTATTCCCTTAGGTAGGGTTACTAAAATACACATGTACACTGACCCTTCTTGCACTAAAAGCAGGGGCTATTGGTTTCTCTGCCATATGCATGCATTAAAGTTTTTTCAGTAGAACCCATTTAGCTTGTATCCTTCAACTGAACCCATTCTTTAGTCTACTATAACTGTACAAGCTGCGTCAACGCTGCTTAATTGAACATCATGTTGAATCTACATACGTGGATTAATTCCTCGCATGTCATAATTCATAATCATTATTGGGGCTGTATGGGCTGTCTGTATACTTTGTCTATCTATATTTGAAATTAATTCTTCCAGTACAATTGCGCTGTGAATCCTTGTAGATGACCTATAGCTATATCACGTGCATCTACCCATTAGTATATACTGTTACAAATGGGGGACGTGGTGCCTAGTCGTCTGCCTGTTCACAATGTTCTCCTATACCCTTTCAATATTCGTACATTTAAATTCATGTTCTTGAATCTTCGTGGATGCTCACCCTTAAAAGTCTAGACAGTGCAAGTCCTATCTTCAGGAACATGCTTTCTGGGTAAAAAAAAAAAAAATAGTGAAAAGTTTATAGATTTGTTGTTGACTGTGTTGTGGGTGATAGAAATTAGTTTCCATGCTGCTTAACTTAGCTGAGTGCCTGAGTCATAGTTTGATTCTGGTAGGTCTTTTCCTTCTATAGGATATGTTTTTTCAGTCTATCTGCTCTGTACTTAGAGATTAGAAATTTGGAATCTCAAATTGGCTAAGAACATTATGCTGTCGTACATACAATTGTTCTTTAAAACTGAGAAACGGAGTAAGAATATGAAGATGTTGTGCAGTGATCTGAATTATGCATGTTCTCACCTTAAGGAGAAGGTGTAGCATCTACTCTGGAATGTCTGTTCACAAACAAAATTTACCTTAGATTTGATTAGGCCTGGCCTAGCATTGTAATCTGGGAATTGATGTCGAACTTTAGATTGGTCTATTTCTTCAATTCATAGCCTAACATGTGTTTCTTTGTTATTATAAGCTAGTTGCGACTTTCCTAGCAGAAAGATACTTGGCATATATACGGTGCAATATAAGACTGATTACTGCGTCCGATATTGAAACTAGCGCGAGAGATTTTTTTTTTTATTTGGTTCAGTATCGAACGAAGGTGTTTCCGAGTAGCGTTTTGCTTCAGCATTGCTCTTTACAATGGCACTTCTCGACGTTTGATCTTCCTCCAACCTTCTCTCCTGCTTCAAGCACCTTTTACGGTAGTCTAAGTTACCACGCATTTATAATCAAAATATATATAAGCCTTATTTTTTAGGAAAATTAATAAGCCTTTAAAGTGGAAACGGTCAGTGGGCTTAAAAATGATTTGGGCTTTTGGGCTCCTATTATTTATTAAAGAGGAAACGTTCAGTGGGCTTAAAAATGATTTGGGCTTTTGGGCTCATTATTGGGCTAGTAACAAATTTCGGGATACTCCGTATCTCGATTCTCCATAGATCTCAGCGGACAGGAGTCTCCATCTGGACCGTGAAATATTCCATCGGACGGCTATCATGAATGTCTCGTGGGCTCACTGGCTCAGCACGGGAGGCGCCGGCCGCGGAAGCCGCATCCCCCCCCACGGCAGCACCACTCCGCTCTCCACCACCATCGCCTCCCATGGCGACCAGGGCGGCGGCAGCCACGCTCACGGCGTCCACGTCCTCTCTCCTCAGGTAATATCTTCGATTCTGCTCTACTACAGTAGTTTGGAGCAGCTATCGCATCCAATCCCTTCCGACCCAACTCGTCTTTCCCTCTGTTGTTACAGGCGCTCTGCTTCGCTGCGGCCGCAGGGTCTCCGGGCCCCCCACCGCGTGCCTCCCCAAAGGTGGCTATCTTTTTCTTTGGATTTGAGTGGTTGCTTGCGGCCTGGTCTACTATCTTCTGCATTTACTTGCTTGCTGATGGTATCCTAGTGGCTAGTACAATTCCTCTCACTGTTTGGTAGCTAACGAAAGCTATGCTTAGTTCTAGAATAATTTGTAGGACAACCGTGTTTAGAGTTGTAATTGTTCCAGAGTTAACATTGAATGTCAGTTTAAACACTTGACGGAGCGGAGAGAAACTCCCTCATACTTAGACATGGACACTGCAAGGTGATTATTAAGGCACAGGGAAATCATTCCTGACATAAGCTTTTGTGTTAGGACAACATCCAGGTTCACTAGAAATCAATACATGATAAGTACCCCAAGCGATCTAGTCTTCTGTGGACATACTTGATTTCAGTCAATTGGTAGTCAATAGCAGGGAGGAAGGACTCATAACCTTTGTTACCCCTTCCAGATCTTCTGCAAAATGGTCATTGTGGTCTCCAAGTTTGTTATAGTGGTCATAAAAACTTGTGTTTGCAAATTGATTGAAGTCAATATTCAACCAGATCGGGCTACTTTCAGTAGCTAATTATCTTGAGCTTCTGCTAACTTCAGGTTCTTTGAATTTTTTGGAGTCATCTCTTTTAGCCCTTTACACACTTATGGTCCTTAAATGCTCTAAAGTTGATTTCTGATACATTTCCCTGCTACTTTAGATTTGTGCACCATATTGCTTCATCAACAAATGAAGAAGCTGCTGCCAAAGCAGCCTCTGCCACCGCTGATACTGGAGGACCAACCATGTAGATCTCATAAGCTTGTTTGTACTCTGTTTTGTGGCACTGAATATTCATTTTCATTTAATTTGCTCAGTTTCGACAAGATCATTGCAAAGGAAATTCCTTCAAGCATTGTATATGAAGATGAAAATGTGTTGGCATTTAGAGATATTAATCCACAAGCCCCTGTGCACGTTTTAGTTATCCCAAAAGTGAGAGATGGACTAACTGGATTAAACAAGGTATGTAGTGTAGTTCATATTATGTGCACAAAAGGAGGCCAGTCTGTAAAACATTTTACCATGACTTTTATGACATTGTTACATGTTCTTAGGCTGAGCCAAAGCATACTGAAATTCTGGGCCAGCTTCTCTACGCAGCGAAAGTAGTAGCAGAAAAGGAAGGTGTAGCAAATGGGTACCGTGTTGTCATCAACAATGGAGCTGAAGGATGTAAGGAGCTCATGGGCAACCTTTATCCCACATTTTTTTTTTCTGTTTCTTCTCTCCAAATGTTTTCATTTTTATGCTAATGGTGTGCCATTTATCTGTCCACAGGTCAATCTGTCTATCATCTGCACTTGCATGTACTCGGTGGAAGGCAGATGAAGTGGCCCCCTGGTTAAATTACGAAGGGGGACATGTATGATTTCTTTTGTGTCTAGCATACCCTCTTTGTGAGTTTGCTGCTTGTCTGAGTGTTGTTCCAAAAAGAGAAAGAGCTGCCCCTGTGATGGCCCCCTTTGAGCACTCATCTCTGGAATTACTGAGCTTTTGCAACATTTTACTAAGGAAACACTTTTGCAGCGGATTCTTTTAGAATATTAAACAGGTTTAGAATTATCCTGGCAAACAATCAGCCGTGCATATTTCAGATGGCCCTTCCATGAACATATATTTTTACCCACATAGCACATCTTCAAGATTGTTTTAACCATCCAAGTGCTGGGCGGGATTGTTAATTATTTTTATTTTGGGAGTCAGATGAAAGCAGCTGGGTCAAACATCCAAATGTAGGACTTCCTTCTGATATCATTTGCCGCACATGTATACACATCCAGAGCACCAAATTTCACCCGAGCCAGGTGAAATTTTACAAGCAGAGGCGGTATGCCCTGGGAATTGAAAACTGGTGAAGCGATATACGATTCAGTAAGCATGCGTAGAGAAAACTGATAAAGCGACGATATGATTCAGAAAACATGCAGTAACACACTTATATGATACACATACATGATGGAATAACGATTGATAGGAAATACAACAACTCCGCATCCTGCAAGAATAATGATTGGTGGCCATAATTCTGTTCGGTGCTTATAATAAGCCAAACGGAAGTGTTATCAGGTTGTTCGGCCATCATAATCACATTAATAGAATTATTGCATGCTAAACACCAAATTTTCAAGTCAAGCACAGCTCATTTCTGGTGTCAAGGTACATCTTCTCTGCCCATCCCACATCCCCCATCAGCAACTTGGCACGCTGGATGCTTACCTTCACCCAGTACATGCTCGTCTGGAAGAGACAAGACAATTGCTGAAATATTGAATCCGTTCTGGAAGAGATCGAAAGGACGATTGTTGAAAGATTGAATCCATTGTTGGAAGGTTGAATTCTTTAGAGGAGGAAAGAGACGTTGCTTGCAATCAAAACAGGTTGGCTAGTTGCATTGAGAGGTCGCAAGAATCAGATGGCGCCGAGCTGCCCATGCCAGGACACAGCCTGCTGGGCTACCAACGCGAGGACAGGCTACACAACAGAGACGCATACGAATACGTGCAGACGCAGCGAGCACGACAGCGTCTGGGGCGCAAAACGGCAGCGTCACGAGGAGGGGTTGGCCGGGTGGGCGCACGAGGGACCATGCATGTATGTCGTAGTGCTCTGCTTAACAGCCTCCAGTGCAATGCAGCCTCCGTCCGTGCATCAGTGCATGGCTCGCGCAGTCGTGCTCTGATTTCGTCTCGTCTCGCCGTCCCCCTCGCCTTCGCACACGCCAGAGCTGTAGCTGCATGCATGCTCTCCTCAGTCCTCTTCTGCTCGTTTGAGCGTCCCAAATCCGGGTGGGGAAGGAAGGAAGAACACTTTGCTGTTGTGAGAGGTTGAAGCTGCCAGCATGATCTGGCTGCTCAAACGCCAGCCGGCCTCTCAAGTGCTCGATCGGTGACGCTTCACCAGATCATGTTTTGCAGCTTCACTCTCTCGCAACCAGCAAAGGGCGGCAAAGCATCGTGGAGGCTCCCGACAGATGAGTTCCTTCGCCGGTATGTGCTTGTTTCATCTTTATCAAACCAAGCATCATGCATGTCACAGGAGTCACAGGAGTAGGATTCGTGTATACTTCGTGGTTTGTCCAAAAAAAAAAGGTCCCCGAACGAGCAATTTGTGTTAATGTGTTGGCATTAAGTTGCTGGTTTCTCAGCGAGGCATCAGGATAAGCTGACAATGCAGGCTTCAGAATGCATACTACTAAATAATTATGCTGGTGGAAGAGGTTGAAGCTGCCGGTATTACTCATTCGTTTTTTTTCTTCATTTCTTTCTACTAAAGAAAGCTTAATGCTTAACCACAAGCAGAGATTAAAAGGGGGAGACAAGTCAATTATTCAGTTTTTCAAACCTATAATTGTTTTTTTCTTTGCGTCATGAATTATTGCTTGTATACTTGTATAGATTCAGTTAGTAGCTAGGCTTCTATCCACCTTTGCTACATCCGCCGGTGCATTTTTAAATATGATATCATAGTAGAATAAATTCTACTTTTATCTTGATTTGATTACCACTGGATTTTGTTTAATTCTTTTCTCTCAAGAAGATTACTGTTTCTACTAGTTATTGGTAATTTGGCTTATTTATAATGAAGTATATATACATCAAATATATGACTAACAATTACATCATGATTAGTAGGACTAACAATTACATCCACCACTCTTGAATTCACAAGCTCATTCCCAACGTGGTATCTAGAGCCAGGCTCTAGGATTAGGGTTTGGGTTGCCGTTCATGCGGTGGTCATTCCTCACAGGGCCCTAGCAATGCATCTACCGGAGGATCTTAGAGTAGCTTGGATAGTTCTGAGACACAGGAGATACTCATGTTGCTCCGTCGCCTTGCAACCTCTTCACCTACCGGGGTTGCTAGTTCTATCACTGTAGCCTTTGAACTTTCAACTTCTATTGCTACTTCTTAGTCTTCCACTAAGGTACCATCGTCCATTTCAGGTACTACACCATGGATTCTTGACTCTAGTATACTTCTTTCCACATGACTCGTGGTCGTGCCGGTCTTTCCTCTATCCGTACTCCTATCCTATTATTGTTCATACCACTGACGGCTCGCTTCTTTCTGTTGTCGGACATGAAACTCTAATGTCCTCTTTTCATGTTCCTACTAGTGTTTCTTATATATGTTCTCAATCCGAGGGCTAATTTGGAAGCAAGGGAAGCCACACCCAGGGGTGGAAAACCCCTCCACGATGAACTAAATAATTATTCAAATTATTTTTCCATGGATTTTCCACCCGGAAAAAGTCAGGGATCCCAAGGGGATTTGAGATTCCAAATTAGCCCTGATGGTGCAACTAATCTCCACTGGCCAAGACAATGATTATGGTTGCGTGTTATTCTTGACTCCGACTCTTGTCGTGCTTAGGATCTCAACACATGAGTTCAGGTTGGTACTGGCCGTCTGCCCCCATCATTCTCAGCGTTTTTAGAAGCTCGACTAGCTTCATCCTCCTAGTACTGGCATTGCCGGTATTGTGAGCTCTGCTTCTGCAAAAAAAATTTCAACTTTTTTAAAACTAATTTTAAATCTAACCCTGCTTGTTTTTTTTAAAACTAACACTTTTGGCCGCGCCTATTGCCTTCGACGGCCAAATGTCCATCTTGCGCCCATGCATGGTGGCGCGGCAAGGCTCGACGTGGCGGCGACCGAATCGCAATCGTTGACGTGGCGAGGTATGCCAGTACCACCGATCTTCTTAGCGCGCTGCAAAGGTCACCACACCAGCCATGGCGCATGGCGCAGTAAAATAAATATCGCGAGCGAGCCCGCCCGCCCTTGCCACCAAGACGTGCCCGCGCCACCCAGCTCATACATCATACCTTGGCGTCAGCCACCCGCCCACCACACGCCACGCCATCGCCCACTCCCCAAACAATACCCGTGTGTCGCGCCACGCCCACATTTAACGCCGACGTCAAGGCCGCCCGCTCCTAAGGTACCTCCCTCTCGATTTCATGTTATTTTGATTATTATTGATTTAGGATAATTAGTGATTTAGGATAGTTAGTAATTTAGGATAGTTAGTGATTTAGGATAGTTAGGTTAGTGAATTTGTTTGTGATTTACGTAGGTAGTTTTTAGGTTTGAGGTTGTGTGTTCTAGTACCACTAGGATTTTGGGTTTAGGGATTGATTAGGTATTTATTATTTAGTTTATAGTTAGTTATTTAGTTAGGGATTTTGGGTATAGATACTAGTTTACAAATGTTGGTACTTACTAGTGCGTGATACGTCGATTTTTGATGATTTTGAAGTTTCGTCAAATGCTTATATTTCTAGTGAAGTTGTTTATGTTACTAGTGCGTGATATGTCTGTTAATGTTACTTTGAATATATACATGTGCTTTCATATTGTGTTCGTATTGTATAACAAATAGTTCAAATTTTGCAATGCTAAATAATGTTAATTTGAATTTTGTTAATTTGAATACTCTAACGCTTTGTTTATCAATTTGTAACAGGATGGCCCCTCCCACGCAGCACCCGTTGTACCCCATTCTTGAGGTGGAGTACGACGATCAACACCGAACACACATCTTGAGTGACAACGACGCAGAGGTGGCCTTGCCTACTTTGAGGCCCTACACACACACCAGGGCGCACCAGTGGGACGAGCGTTACGCGCTGTGCATACGGCGTGCTGGCTTCCTCGAGCTTGTCCGTGTTGTCAACCACGGTCTTCCGCCCCTTGACCCAGCACTACTTACTGCAGCTGTAGACAGGTGCGCGTGCATTCTTTGTACGTAAACTTTCTTGTAACAAATTTGAGGCAGCTAATAGTCGTTCTATTCTTATAACAGGTGGAGGCCTAAGACCCACACGTTCCACCTACCTTATGGCGAGATGACCTTGACGATGCAGGACGTGAAGGCTATTTTTTGCCTTCGGTTGGGGGACTTCCAGTGACAGGGATAGTTGACAACGATCACTGGAGGGAACTGGTGGCTCAGTTTACTGGCTTTCTTCCACCGGATGATGAGGCTTCTAAGAAAAATAAGTGAGAAATTCAAGCCTATTTAATACTTGCATTGCTTTCCTGCAGCCATCGGGTCTCATTTTCTTTGGTAAATTTCAGGAAAACTTCCGGTGTTTCGTCGTCGTGGATCACGGAGCGCTTTGATTACTTGGGCCCACAGGCTGAGGAGGCTCAGATCGACTGGTTCGCTCGAGTGTGGCTCTAGCACTTTCTTGGTGCTTTCCTCTTCCCAGACGCCTCGGGCAACACCATCAGCTGGATCTTCCTTGACATACTACGCCAACCGTGGGAGAACATAGCAGCGTATAGCTGGGGCAGCGTAGTTCTGACATGGACGTATTGACAGCTATGCGTTGCCTGCTGTCGCACCTCAGGGTATGCGAACCTTGGGGATTGCTCATACCTACTACATGTTTGGTGTTGGGAGCGATGGCCCGTTGGGAGGCCCTTTAATACTGGTTTACCGGTAAGTACTTCGGTTCATTATATTCTTTGATATGGTTACATATGATGAGTTTATTAATGGCTAATTCATTATCGTGTTCAATGCAGCAATGGAACGGGCAGGATACACTCCCTACAGCTCTATTTATCTGGACAGAATCAGAGTTAGTTAGAGGGAATGCGAGGCGCAAGTACAGGGAGTACACGGATGGTCTCGACGTCCTGACACAGCACCAGGTTACGCTCTCTTTACTATCATACCTGTGTCTTGTTCGATCTACACTATATCACAGCCTAACTCAATTACGAAATATTCAGGTGCATTGGTGTCCTTGGGATGCTCTGGAGCTCCAGTACTATCTCAGTCCTGTCACTAGGGACGAGTCAGAGGAGTATCGCTGCAACGTCTCTCTTATTTTCTTCCACGTGGTCGAGATTCACTTGCCCATCAGGATCTGCAGATAGTTTGGAAGAATGATAGGCTGCCCACCACCGCTTTACTCCACCAACCAAGGATTGCACGGGTGCGTTATCGATTAATAACAAAGCTACAATTCAAAGGTGTGTGTGGTATAACTAACATCGTTTTGTTGCAGGAATGACCGCAGGAAGAGGTACAAGACCAAGGATTGGCGCGTGATACACAACGCACACATCCTTTTGTGGGAGACCAGGGAACGGCAGTCAGTCCATGTAGATCCTCCATAGGTCTACGAGGACACATATCAAGCCCCCGTACACTGAGGAGGCGATTGACGAGGACTCAGAGGAAGATGTGATCGAAGATGTGTACGACGTTGCCTCTAGGGAGGACACACAACTACAGAG